AAATTTAAAATTATATCAATATTTTTATATTATTTTTTGTATTTTGATTCTTGAAATTCATTTGCCCGCGGGCGCCCATGACTCCCTTCACATTTTTATTTTGAAAATTTAACTCTAGTTCAATTATTTCAAAACCATTTTTTAATTTTTGATTTTCGGTTAGTGCCCCATAAACATTCATTTTTTCATTAGTTTATTAATGTAAATAAATCTATGAGTTTAGAAATAGTGTTATTGTAGACTGCAGACTTTAATATTTATGTTTATATTTTTTTTTGTATTTTGATTCTTGAAATTCATTTGCCTGCGGGCTCATATACCCCCCTTCAAATTTTATTTTCCATAACTTAACTGTAGTTCAACTTTTTATTCACATTTTTTAAATTTTGATAGCCAGCTGGTTCCTTAAAATATTCATTTTCTCATGATATAATTATTGTAAATAGCACTATGAGTTTTGGCATAATGATATTATAGACTGCAGTCTTTAATGTTTGTTTTTAATGCAACTTTTTTCATATTTTTATTTTTTTTTGATTCTCAAAACGCATTTGCCCGCGGGCGCCCATGCCCCCTTCCCATTTTTATTTTAATTTGAATGCTCAATGACTTTTAAGTACCATTTTTAAATTTNATTGAATGCTCAATGACTTTTAAGTACCATTTTTAAATTTAGATAACCAGCATTTAATTATTGTAAATAACACTATGAGTTTGGTAATACCGATATTGTAGACTGCAGTCTTTAAAGTTTTTTTTTAATGCAACTTTTTTCATATTTTTTTTTTTTTTGATTCTCCAAACGCATTTGCCCGCGGGCACCCATGACCCCCTTCCCATTTTTATTTTTAGAATTGAATTCTATCTAATTTTTTTATAATGTTTTTTTATTTCATAACTTAAACCCATTTGCCTGCGGGCTCCCATACCCCCCTTCAAATTTTATTTTCTATAACTTAACTCTAGTTCAACTTTTTATTCACATTTTTTAAATTTTGATAACCAGCTGGTTCCTTAAATTATTTATTTTCTGATGATAAAATTATTGTAAATAACACTATGAGTTTAAGCTTACTGATATTGTAGACTGCAGTCTTTAATGTTTGTTTTTAATGCAAGTTTTTCATAATTTTATTTTATTTTGATTCTCAAAACGCATTTTCTCGTGGTCGCCCATGCCCCCCATCCCATTTTCATTTTTAGAATTGTATTCTATCTAATTCTTTCTAATTTTTTTATATATTTTTCTTTTTTGATTCCCAAAATGCATTTGCCTGCGGGCGCCCATACACCCCTTCTCATTTATTTTTGATGTCAAGTTAGAGCCTCATAAATATTCATTATTTCATTATCTTATTATTGTAAATAAAACTATGAGTTTAGGAATAATGATATAATTATTGTAAATAACACTATGAGTTTAGGCATAATGATATTATAGACTGCATGATGGTCAGTCAGTGCCTCATAAATATTCATTATTTCATGATCTAATTAATGTAAATAAAACTATGAGTTTAGGAATAATGATATTATAGACTGCAGTCTTTAATGTTTGTTTTTAATGCAACTTTTTTCATATTTTTATTTTTTTTGATTCTCAAAACGCTTTAGCCCTCGGGCGCCCATACCCCCATTCTCTAGTTCAACTATTTATTCACATTTTTTTAATTTTGATAACCAGCTGGTTCCTCAAAATATTAGTTTTCTCATGACATAATTATTGCTAATAAAGCTATGTTTTTAGAATACTGATATTGTAGACTGCAGTCTTTAATGTTAGTTTTTAATGTAACTTCTTTCATATATATGACTAATAATACCCGCATTTGCCTGCGGGCGCCCCTGTCCCCCTTCAGATGTTTATTTTTTAAATTAAATTCTCCATGACTTTATGATACTATTTTTAAATTTTGATAACCAGCATTTAATTATTGTAAATAACACTATGAGTTTAGGCATAATGATATTATAGACTGCAGTCTTTAATGTTTGTTTTTTATGCAACTTTTTTCATATTTTTATTTTTTTTGTTTCTCAAAACGCATTTGCCCGCGGGTGCCCGTGCCCCCTTCCCAATTTTTATTTTTAGAATTGAATTCATTCTAATTCTTTCCAATTTTTTTATACATTTTGCTTTTTTGATTCTCAAAACGCATTCGCCCGCGGGCGCTCATGCCCCCTTTCCTTTTTTTTTTTAGAATTGAATTCTATCTAATTTTTTTATAATTTTTTTTTATTTCATAACTTAAACCAATTTGCCTGCGGGCTCCCATACCCCCCTTCAAATTTTATTTTCTATAACGTAACTGTAGTTCAACTTTTTATTCACATTTTATAAATTTTGATAAACAGCTGGTTCCTTAAAATATTTATTTTCTCATGATATAATTATTGTATATAACACTATGAGTTTAGGCTTACTGATATTATAGACTGCAGTTTTTAATGTTTGTTTTTAAATCAACTTTTTTCATATAGTTTTTTTTTTTTTGATTCTCAAAACGCCTTTGCCCGCGGGCGCCCATGCCTCACTCCCCATTTGTATTTTTGGAATTGAATTCTACCTAATTTTTTTTATAATTTTTTTTTTTATTTCATTCGTTAAACCCATTAGCCTGCACGTACCCATGCCCCCCTTCAAATTTTTTTTTCTATAACTTAACTCTAGTTCAACTATTTATTCACATTTTTTTAATTTTGATAACCAGCTGGTTCCTCAAAATATTAGTTTTCTCATGACATAATTATTGCTAATAAAGCTATGTTTTTAGAATACTGATATTGTAGACTGCAGTCTTTAATGTTAGTTTTTAATGTAACTTCTTTCATATATATGACTAATAATACCCGCATTTGCCTGCGGGCGCCCCTGTCCCCCTTCAGATGTTTATTTTTTAAATTAAATTCTCCATGACTTTATGATACTATTTTTAAATTTTGATAACCAGTATTTAATTTTTGTAAATAACACTATGAGTTTAGGCATAATGATATTATAGACTGCAGCTGTCTTTAATGTTTGTTTTTAATGCGAATTTTTTCATATTTTTATTTTTTTTGATTCTCAAAACGCATTAGCCCTCGGGCGCCCATACCCCCCTTCAAATTATTTTCTATAACTTGACCCAAGTTATTTTTCATGAAATCATATTAGAACATGTTTGTTTATTGTTGAAAATAAAGTTTTGAATATTATTATTAGAATATTTTTTTGTTAAGAAAACGTTACACAGACTAATTTTGTAGTTTCTGTTTTAGAAGTATAAAATACAGCAAATTTTACTCTCAGAAAATTATATTTAGCTCCATTAGTTGGAGTGAAAATTTTTTATAAGGCATCTCATAGACTTTTTTCTTTATTTTTAATTGAAAGCGAGTGATGACTGATGAGTAATTATGAAGTACAAAAAATTTACAATTTTAAAACACTCATAATTTGCTTTAAAATTAAAGTATAATAATAAGCCTGAGATACCCTTCTTAGCTTTAAGTTTAAAAAAGATGTTAATTAACTCTAATTTTTAAACTAACAAAGCTAAATGATCTGCTAAGCTTAAAATTTGCCATATGTTTAGGCACCTGTTAGAAAAATATCGACATAGCGTCCTCCTGAACAAAATTGAATAATAAAATCACTTAAATACCTTTCATTCTAAAAGTGAGCATGTAGATTGATGTTTTGTTTGCCTTCAAAGTTGGAGCCAAGTAAATACAGCCAACATTTTGGTGCCTTGCGGTCACGGATGGTGTTGTGATGAGTGTGCGATTCGCTTAGATAAATGCGGTGTCTGCAAAATTGCATTTCCTACAGCACAACCCATCCAAATAATGCACGTTAAATTAGGAGATGGTAATTATGAGTGTATAGATTGTAGCATTTTTCTTTTGTAATTTTATATTAAAAATGTATAATTTTTTATTAAAAGGTAAATGGATGCAAAATACTTCCTTACTCGATCCAACTGGAAGTCAGTGCCTTGGATATATGCACCATGTACCTACAATATGTACCAGACCAGACGCAATACATACTGTTGGACTGTGGCCATGGGTGGTATTGTGCGACATATTGTAACTCAACACCACCGTCCTCATGTGAGGTATGTGGTGATA